TCGCATTTCGCTCTCCAACGCTCAAACATGCTTCTACCACTTCGACACGCTCGTTGGAGTGAGCAGGAGTATCCCAGAGCACGCACGTCCAGATAAATAGAATTTAAGGATCTTAATATGAGATTCAAAAGCGCAATCAAAGTCGGCACTTTTCGAAATACTTTTTGAAAAATATATTACACGAGATGATGTAAGCTGAAACGAAATATGCGGTGACTCGAAGAAATTGAAGATGTCTGCAATGTCTACTAAACAAGCTTCTCGAACTTTTAAAAAATATCGGTTTGCGCCGATTGTCGCAACTCAAGCGACTAATTAGAGACTCGCAATAGTACGCTAATGTCAGCGCCTATGCACTAATCATGCAATACTAATGCGAGTCTCTGATTGGTCGTTTGAATTGCGACACAATCGGCGCAAGCCGGCGTTTTCGAAAGATCGAGGATTTGCGATTGAAAAAATTCGAAATTTTACCTATATCGAATATCAATACGATGCAATATTGATATTTGAAAATATATTTGAAGATGGAATATCGATTAAAAATATCGCTATATCAGCTGAGGAAAATCGATATTTCGATGTTTCGGTAGTATATCGCCATCCTAGATGAGTTCGGGGAGACGCTGTTAGCACTATTTGTGTCAGTCTATCCTTGTTTTACGTCTAATAAACAACGAAAATAGAATGACAGAGTAGTGCTAATAGCGTCTCTCCGAATGCATCATTAGTCGACACTCAACAGGACAATATTGAAGTGGCTGTCATTCTTTATTGCTATCACTATTATCTATTGGACTACTTTTAAAATGGACAAAAAGAACGGTTTTTTTTTTGTGAATCTCGAAAACGGTTTTAGATATGGAAAAATTATTTAAAAAATACTTTATTGTGTGTAATGTTTCGGAAAGCTTTTGAAGTAAGCTACAAGAATGTGCAATAAAAAATGAGAGGTTTAATTTAAGAAAACATCGATCACATTGACTTAGCCTTGAAAAGATCACTCAAGGTCAAATCCATATTTTCATCGCATGTCCCTCTTAATGTCTTACAACTTTTGTCTAAAACGTTTTTTTTTATATCTAAAACTGTTTCTGAGATCCAGGAACAGTCAGATTTTACAGACATGTATATATGTGTATATAGGGAAAAGTCGCCGATATCATCTAAAAGGATTGTTATACAATAATATCTATCTTTATGAAAAATCGTCTACGTATAAATCTGATAGAATCAAATTTAATTTTGCACATAAAATACTGAGATTAAAGTTAAGCGATTCATATATACATCTAGATTATACAAAGTCGGAATTATTTATAGTATTGTAGACGATTAGTTAACAACGTAATATACATTGTAAGTAGCGTTCAATATTTGTTTTTATAATTGTAATATTAAAGATAATCAGATACATGGTCAAAACGTTTATCGATATGTATGTAAAGTGAATTAATATATAATTGCATTGTTACCTTGCATTGGCTTTTATGCTCTTTTATCGATCAATTTTGACTTGTTTGGAAACCATTATTTAAAGAGTTATAATTTTTCATAATTTTTTGTTATCATTTTAAAACAGATATACATATTTTTAATTCTGGTTATATATATGTATATTCTTAATTCCCTTTAACTCATATAATCTATTAGCGTTTAATTTTGAAAACTAGAAAAGTTTGATGATATAAATATTACGTACCACATTTTTTCGTATTTTATATTCAAAAAAGTGTCATACAAATCATTAAAAAAAAATCCACAAAGAAGATGTTCTTATAAATAATAGGTATGCATCAACGCACAGCTCTAATTACATCCTTTCATGATAGATTTGGCTTTTCAATAATAAAATTTTAAATAGCATTTAACAAATTGTAGTTTTAGTTGTATTTTTTTCTTAAATATTATATAATATTGTATTTTTTTTTAAACAAAATGTAACAGAATTTAATTGAAAGTTGATTAAAAAGACAAATAATATCGTAAAAGTTAAGAAAAAAAGCTCTGAATAAGGTTGCTCATAATATTTTTCATTCTTCAATTATAGGCCAGATGAAATGGTTAATTTTAATTTATCGTTAAAAATAATGCAATAGAAAATTATCTAAGGTAAAAACAAAAACTTCTGTAAAATTCTTAAATCTATTCAAAATCTTTTCAATGCCTATTAGAGCCGACACACCATATTATATGTAATAATCAATTTATTAATGAACAATAAAATTATATAATTATGACATCAGGTAAATGTTTCGACCGTACTATTTGGGTCATCTTCAGTACCAAAAAAAAACACAAAAAATTCTATAAATAAATGTGTAGAGTAACTATGTAACAGCAAGGTTGAAAGTTGCGATGATTGTGTCCATTATATATGCATGACAAGAATTTGGCAGAATTGATGTCATGAACAAGGAAATGGGCTGACGTACATTTCAGAGATGCATTCCGTCATTAATTGAACAATCAATGACGATAGATTTGACGTGAACTTAACCGTCAGAAGTCACAGTTAGTAAATCTAATAGGCATTGAAAAGATTTTTGTTCAGATTATTTCTAGAGAGCCTTTATCTTTGATTTATTCTTAAATCTATTGTTTGTACGTTTATCATGCGGTATTAATCATATACAATCTATTTAAAATAATATTTTGTTTTTTTTATTTTTTTGTAACCTACATTATTATATTTAATAAATACTAATTCTTCAAAATATATTGAAAAATATCATCAGCAGAAGTGACAGTAATATTTTCGTATAAAATTAAGTTTTAACTGATAAAGATGAAAAAAAGTTATATTTATGATGAAATTATAAATTATATTGTCCCCCTTCCCGTACATTTTGCAATATTTTCTTGTAAAAACAGAAAATTATTCGACTTTTTTAAAGAATTAAATAATTGACGGTCTTTTGTAACAATTAATTGTATACATAATGCCTTGTCATATATCGAGTTTAAATAATCAGTATTGCTTATTCCCAGCAAAAATCAAAACGTAATATAACTTAGGAAGCACATAGAAAGAACAATGATATATTTTATGATTATGGAGACGATACGTGTTACATAATTGTGAGGGTACTTTAGAAGAACAGATATATTTTTTTGCTACATTATATAATAACAATTATTTAACTAAAATTAAAATATAAATAGGAAATGACTCTTAAATAAAGGTATAAAATTATTGATAAAGGGACGTTAAGAGTCTCCATAAGTAAGTTGCAATGACTTTAAAGTAAGCATTATTGTAAAAAAGAAGAAGCAATTCGAGTGAACTATATATTTACTAATTGTCTTTGGTCGCAATTAACAATCTTCTTGATTTCATTATTAACATTCTTCATGATTTCATTATTTACGTTTCGGCTCGAACCGAGAGCCGAAACGTAAATAACAATTATTTAAAGTAACACATATATTATTCATAACATAAATATAATTATATGATCTTTCAGCAATTTAACGAATATCGTGCCATTGATACGTATAAAATATATTCTAAGAGGATATACATTGAATTTATTTAACTTCCAGCCATTAGGGGTGTATTCGAGGAAATGCTATTAGCGGTTTTTTTTGTCATTTTATTCTTGTTTTACATCTAATAAATAATACAAATGGAATAATACAAATAGCTTTAATAATGTCATTCCGAACACTACCCTGTAGATTACTCACGATCAGTTCAAAATTGAATGTCATATACATGACGCTATATTGTTTTATTTCTTTTCATGCACTTTTTACTCATATATAGCGACGATTTTTATTACTATTGTACCTATTTGTATATATATTGTAAATACGTGTAGAAATATGTAAAAAAACGATTATATCACATTGCAATAATATATTAGATATTGATATATTCCTGATATAGAAATGATACATTCAAAGTTGCTGATATAGAGTTGTACTAGTATGTTATATTTATCGTTACAAATAATATTACATGCAATATTCCTGACATTTGTGTAATATTACATCTACATCTACATCTACATCTAAGTTACATGTTTGTTGGATTGATATATGACAGTATGTGTATATAAATATAAAAGTTTATATTTGTTTTTTCAAAACAAATGTTATTGTAATTTGTTCTAAATAAAATAATTTGACGAAAATGACATCTACTAAAGTTCTTCAGTATACTTCTATTGGATTGGATTTATCCACGCTAGATTTTATAAACGAATTTGGTCGATTTATTTTATCTGTGCCACCATTAATAATAATATTGAAAATTTCTATCCTATCAATATTTGGTAAAAAATCTTTTATAAGAATTTTTTGTACACTATATCGCACTTTTTATGAAACGTTATTTCTTGATTGTAAAAGTAAATTAGTACATTCCCAATAACACATAGGTATATAAACAACGATCTCTGAAATCTTAATAATTGAAATATAATGTATAGGTTTGGCCATAAATGCATAAAACACCCCCATAAATTAATATAAGCGTTCTATATTTAACGAAAAATAAATAAAAAAAGTTTTATTAAAAAATAATATTTATTTTAACAATTTTAATATTTTGTTAAATCTTTAGATTTTATTACTACCTTTCCCCCCAAAAAAATGTGTTAAATTGAAGATATTTTATATTTTTTATTATAAGATTGTATATGGCAAAAATAATTAAATTCATAAACTTGATGATTTTTTGAGGAATTTTCGAATACGTTATGAAGTATTATAAAGTTTAATATTGAAATGTTCTGTCATATTTTTCCTCCTTTGTCATTTTTTAATACTAAAAACATTTTATACATTTTTGTATTATTCCGTAAAAATACATTGCACTGTAAAAATATGTACTACAAATACATACAAATGTTATCAAAGATCATATATGACCTTTATCTCAAATGTTTCATTTCTTTTTACAATATAAAAAGAGATTTGAAAATAAATTTGCAAATGTAACTCTTGCACAATAAAGACATATTGTAAGTAAAACAAAATCTGTGTTTTCAAATAAAATTTAAAACATAAATTTCAATAAGACGCCTATCTTAATTACATCATGCGAACATGAATTTCTTGATAAAACTTTGAAACAAAATTTGGAACTCATCTTAGTCTAATATTTCATGTCAAATCGTATTATACATCGTATTAATATCGTTACGCATCTCAGAAAGGTGTCTGTAAAATTTATACTAGACTGCTAGAGTAATAATCAAATATTCTCGCTGTAATAAATCACGTGTAATTTGTAAGAATCACTTGTACGTAGATCGTTCTTGATATAAGTAAGCCAAATCCATCTTCATTCATATTTGTAAAATATCATTATTTCGCTAATCTATTTTCATTGCATTGCAGAAATATTGGCAAAATAATGCTAAGGTTGGAAGAACGTCGCGTTATTTAGCGAACATGACATTTAATTATCTACATTTATGTCACAAGAATTTAATCTGTTCTCTAATAAACTATTTTTGAAAGAAATTTGAAAAATCATTCTTCTACTCTCACAGTTACAGTCCTATAGCTAGAAGGACTTCGCAAGTCTTTTAATTGGATTTATCATGCTTCATCTTGTTAGAAATTGCGTTACCATTAACACTAACAGAGCCATTAATAGCGCCATTAGCCTTCGATACTTGTTCCACTTTTGATTTCAAATAATTATTCACATAAAATGATCCAAACATATAAGTGAACAAGCCAGCATTGATCATAAGCAGAAATGACAGCGGCTTGGGAAAATTACAGCTAGTAAATTGCATTTGAAAATTATGGAAAAATATTATCATAAACTGTACAATCTGCAAGATAGTCAGATATTTTTTCCACCAAAGATACTTCTGCATATGTGGCCCGAATGCGGTCAACATGTAGTAGGTGTACATAAAGACATGGACGAAGGAGTTGATGACGCCAAGGAGAGTCGGGTGACCACCGGCAACGAATTTCACACCGATCCAGGAACAGATTGGCATCAGCGAATGATGGTAAAGATGCAGGAACGTGATCTGTCGATCTTTTTTGCGCAGAACAAAGAACGCTGTGTCCAGCAGCTCAATCAATTTGCACATAAAGTACAGGTAAACGCCATTGGCCATCTACAAGAGCATAATTAAATAAAGATCAAACGGATATTATTAATATAACGGATATAAACTAATGATACGTTGTAATTATCAAGTCAAGCAACATTTTCTTCTGGCAGAACGGAATGTTCTTTCACTTAAAGCGGACTTGAAATCTATACCGAATTCGAGCACTAGTTTACAGTTGTCGCAATAACGGGTGCAATGGTAGGAACCCGTCGCGTCACAAAAATACGAATGTCTCCAAAAGTCTTATTATCACAATTTTCCTATACAGCATAGAACATCGTCAAGTAGCAAATATATGTATTGCGTAGCATTAAATGTTTATGTTGTAACATATCGTGATATTGGAGCAACAATAAAAACATCCGTTTTGAGAAAACTTGTAATGTAACATATCATGGTGTATTAATGCAACGTCATTACACATGCAATATTGCATATTAGGTGTCTACAAATAATTTTAATGTACAAATATAAGAGGAAAGGGAGATGTTTTTTGCACTATAATTTGTAAAATTGCAATATTACTGCAATACCTCTAAACTATTTCATACTGTATATAAATTACTATTATAATTATTTCCGTGCTCTATAAATTATTATTATTATAGAGTTATTATTTTAATAACGTGTTTTAGACTCACCCTCATTGAACTCGGTTTATATGAATAATCGACCGGTTGACAAATAAAATTATATTCGTACAACCAACCAGCCATCAAACCTTCGTAAACTAGATAAAGGCTTGCAAGAACTTGGATAAAATTATAAATTATCAGAATATTTTTCAAATCGTATGGCTTCCTGTCCTTCATATATCTCGGTCCGGCGTAAACACAAAAATATATATATGTCGCTATGATCGTTAAAACTGGACCAGGACTAGGTACCAGAAACCATTCTTGTGTTCTTGGATCTATAAGCGTTTTAACGTATAATGTAACTATGTAACATAATGTAATGTAATTCAGTATAACGTTAACATGTAATATTATTTTTCACAAATGTAATTTTGTTGTAAAATCACCATATTTGTTGTCGATCAAATCTCTATACCACTCCACAATGTACGACATCTCGTAGTCTGATTTTGTAAATCTGCAAAATGCACATTATAAATTAGTTTTAAAATATAAACGTCTTATTCCTCAAAAATAAATTTTATATTTCTGTGGTAATTTTAAATATATTTCTCTTCTACAACATGTTTGTTGTGAGTACTAATTATTGTACATTTTGAAATGTAATCCTAAATGAAAACTGAAATAATAATATTACAAACTAAATTGATATGCAATTTAATAATAATAAGTTTAAAACACTGCAAAAAATTTATTGCAGTATTTTAAGATATTTATGAACATTATCAAATTACGTATCAATTTAATTTGTAATATTACTGTTTCAGCTTTTGTATAGAACTACGTTTTAAAGAAAATAATAACATGATCAAAGCGCAAATATTTTTTTAAAAAATTCAAGCTACAGAAGAATTTATTTTAATGACATCCTAATAACAATTTACAAGTACCAAAATATAAAAGCCTAATTTTATAATAATAATAATGATAAAAATATTTATATGGTCTTTTTTTTATAGAGACTTATGATACATTTATAATAAAAAAGAAAAACTAGTGGAAAAATATTTAGTATTTTACATAAAAATTTAATTATTTTATTAATTTAAATTTAAAATTATAAGTTCAAAGAAGCTTGTAACAAGAAAAGACTAGATTACTCTATGAATGGTTGCAACATTGTACTGCAAGCTGTTGCAGTTATTCACATTTAAAAAACAAATGACTATGAAAGTGCTGTGCATTGTTATGTCTCGTCTCTCCTCGACTGTCCTTGGTAGTCCTAATGACAATATAAATTACGCGAGGGGCGGTAAAAGGATGGAAACTTGTTTGCGCCTTTTCCTAAATTACAATGGGCAATTGCAACGGCCATAAGATACGTATACGTGTATGCAATTTTAATTAGCATTCAACGAGCAATTTACGTAAGATGTAATTTATTTTAAATGTCTGGAATTTTATAAATAGATCAAAAAGTCTTTTCCTTTAACATTAATTACATTTCATTATATATTTTTTATAATTAATTACATTGCTGTTCATAATTATATATTTTAATTTCTTTTTAGAATGATTAATTATATTATTTCTTAGAAATAACGTTGAACTCTTAAAATTTGCTGGTAAAGACGTTTAAAGAAGTTTAAATCTAATTCACGTATTTTAGATATGACATTATTTTAAAGAAAATCTCACAAAAAAGAATTATCAGGTAAATTAGACAGCACGTAATTACTTTATAATGCTATTATAAAAGTTTTATCTGTGGCGCGATGATGTTAAACGAATATTTAGTAAAAATATAAGAATTAATTTTTTATATTATTGTAATGTAGATTGTTTCTTTTTCAATCTTTACAAAAAAAGAAAGCCACTATAGCGCTGAAACAGTGTTATAGATATTTTGAGACAAGAATTATAATGAAATAAAGTATTACATTAAAAAAAAATTCATGAAATTTGATTAAATATTTGTTTAGATAATACTGCAATGGGACCATTTACTTACAGTAAATAAATATTTGTTAAAAAAAATTATACTTAAATTTAAATATCATTTTTTTAAATCAAATAAATATTTATTTTCTGTAAGCAAATGGTCTCATTGGTACTATATAAACAAATATTTATTCAAATTTCGTAAATTTTTGTTCAGTGTATAACAATCAAAAGTATTATAAATATCTTAATCAACGAAAAATTCTTTAAATTTTTAAATAGCCGTCCATTAAAAGTTTAATTAATGTCATGGTTATGTGCGATATTTTCAAAAACTTTGAGTTTGTATCCGTTGTCGGGTCAAAGATATTTAATTGTAAATCAAGTTTTAATTGTATCAAGATAAAAAAGATTACTATAGTAATTGCAGCAAAAACTAATAACTAATAAAAATAAATAAAGGACAAACAAGCAATTGGGAATTGGCACAACGATCGATGCGTAATGCTCTTCAAAAAGCTTTATCTTACATAAATAAAATGAGATTTGTACATGTTTCGACTAGTTTGCTAGCAAAAATCTTCTTCAGCGAAAACATACGACAAGTATCACAAGTATAACAGTCAAGATCCACAAGATTGAAGACGTAAACTTACGATGTTAACAAAATTGGCATGATTTGGTCATAATTGTTGTGCAGTAACCCTTACTCCGTTAGAAAGCCGTTCTCACTAGTTACAAGGCTGGATGATAGTAATGATTAAAAACTTCACAGCTATGTAAACCTCAAAAATCAATTCCCATGGCGATACGGTTATCTGAAGCGAATTATGTTTAAATTTCGTTTTATTTATGTAAGATAAAGCTTTTTGAACAGCATTATGCACGGATCACTGTGCCAATTCCCAATTACCCGTTTGTCCTTTATTTATTTTTATTATTTGTTACGGGAATTTTCATTATTACTACCATTAAAACTAATAATATTCAAAGAATTAAATAAACGAAAAGCATACTATATACGCAAGATCTTTTAGCAGAAATTATATTTAAGTTTTCTTACATATGTGTAATCATAAACGTTTCGGACTTAATTAGTCCATCTTCAGTATATTGATCGCATTGATTTTACAGATATATAACAGTTTTCTATCTACGTGCTTGTGTCGAAGAATGCATTTACGCTACAGTAATTCTTCTTATTTGTAATATAGTCTATGAGTTTGTAAAGTTATTTATAATGTGGTTTTCTTCTTTTAGGCTAATTCTACAATGTACTTTTTGTTTCCTGTTTCTTGCTGTTTATCTCTTGCCTTCTTGATCAAAAAGACAAGAGACAAACAGCAAGAAACAGGAAACAAAAAGTACATTGTAGAATTAGCCTAAAATTTATTAAAAAGCTTTAAAAGTTATCGTTTTTTTTTAAATTGTTATATTTTAAATATGTTATTTCAGATTTTTACATCAGTTTAACACAGAAGTCCCGAATTCTATAAAATGAATATAGTATATCAATAATCGTTAATAACAAATAATGTGTTTCAATTTTATCTACTAAATCCGTAATATTGAGTATAAATTAAAAAAGTTGTTACCTGTGTAAACCGATGTATTAATCCAGGAATATAATTTATTTTATTCTCAATAGAGATTGAACGATGATAAAGCTGTCCTGACAAAGATTGAGAGAGAGGCAGTCTTTGTGGAACAATATATGTTTTGTACGAAGTAGGGAGCTGTAGGAGAGGGAAATAGCAGTATTAAGTGGGAGAATTTCTCTCTAAAATGGGGATATATATATACATATATATATAATAATTTCTAAATCCAAAATTGTTAAAAGCCAAATCGAGTCAGCCACCAAATGTAATTTGTGATATATATAATTTCTAAAATAATTTTAATAATTAATTTTCCTGTGTCATTCTGCTTATTAATATCAAACTTCTACTTTTTATGTAAATTATTTCAAAAATTATTTTATTACAATATGATGGTTCTATGCCAAAATTGGAACTCCAATCCAATTAAATTCGTGATTTTTTCCCCAATGACCGAACATAATTAATAACGACCTTGCAATTTTTTTTATATTTATATCTAATATGTTCTTTCATTTTGGTTTGTAATTGCTTTTTTGTTTGGCTTACATATGTAGCCTCGCAATCAAGACAGTTGATTTTATACATTACTTCAGTATGTGCCATTTTTTCAAGCTTGTTTTTGCTCGTTTTCAGAAGTCTATCAAGTAATTAAGTATAAGTTTATATGCAATATTAAATCCAATTTTTTTAAACATAATTTTAAATTTTTCTAAGATGTCCTTAATGGATGGTATTGTGAAAAATTTAGAAGAGAGATTACTATTTTGATTCACATTGGGCGCATTCAGCGGACTCAACAGTTGAGTGAGCGCTCACTGTTATTGGTGTATTCTTTTAGCTCATCCAATCAGAATTTTAGACTTAGAAGAATACATCAATAGCAGCAAGTGCTCACTCGACTGTTGAGTCCGCTGAAGGCAAGTTTTCCATTGAAAACTGTGTTACTACTCTTTTTTTTTCAATGGTGATTGGTTCGGTTATTGATGATTAAAAATCAAGTGTGTGAACACTTCAACTGATCAACTTATGGACTACATTACAAATAAAAGGAATTACTGTAGCACACACACATTTTTCATCAACACAAACACATAGGTAGAAAATATTATGTATCTGTAAGCCATCAATTTTGTAATCATTGCGATCAATATACTGAGAATGGACTAATTAAATCTAAAAAATTTATCAAATATATTGTTACACCCGGATGTCCGTCTCGCGGTCACTCGTTTGCACACTACGTTACCGTATGTATAAATAAAGAACACTACTATTTATATAAAGAATAATGCGAAACGTTTATTAATAAAGAGTTCAGAGCACAACCGTCAATTAAACATCTCAGCGCAGCGAAGGCTCACACCGAAATCCTCGAGCTTGTTTCTTAAACAACGGAGCAGATCGTCTCCAGACAACACGATCTTCAGGACATAGGTGACAATCTTGCGGCACAGCACGGGTATTCCGCAAAAACCACATGTTTACGTCAGTATAATAAAAAGATTAACCTAAGATACTAAAACTAATTTTTTCAACAATTCAAAATCATTTAGACAATATCAATCTCTTGAGAGATTCACAGAAACAATTTTCTTTTGTGTAATGATTCGCAATAATAATGAGCTTTTTATTGCTCTGTGTTATGTTCGTGCCATTTTTTATTGTTCTCTGATTGATTTTGAACCGTTGAAAAGGTTAACTTTATCATCTTAGACTAATTTTTTTTACTTTACTGACGTAAACATGTGGTTCCGGATTAATACTAATAATGAACCGTAATTTTATGACCACACATTATAATCTTACGTAAGTACCGAATAGTTAAAAAAACGTATCCAATCATTTCATCGTTAATGTAGTTCAATACAAGTAAACGATAATGACACTTGTGCCACAGCAAGCATGTCGCAAGAATCGACTTGTCATAATGTTGTCTTATGAAATTATTATTAGTAGTAAATCGTCGTTTAAC